ACAATTCAAGAGCATTAGCCGGGGCAGTTACCACATCAAGCGCCAAGCAAGTCGTCAACCGCCGGCTGTTCGGCTTCATGAGCATCAGTCCCGCAAGTGCCATCGAAAGCGAGAATCATCAACATCAGCCGTTGCTGTTGCCAACTTAAGCTCCGCCACGGCAGGTACCACCCTGTCTCAGCATCGTGAGCATCAGCCGTGGCTGCCAAAGTAGAGAACCGCCAAAACCGAGCATCATGAGCATCAGCTGTGGCTGTCACCAAACCAAAGCACCGGCCCAGCCGAGCATCATCAGCATCAGCCACGGCTGTTACCAACCAAAGCACAGGCCAAGGTGAGCATCATGAGCATCAACCGCGGCAGCAGTATTCTATTATTCACCGTGCCGCTGAAACAATCCATCATGACTATTTGCCGCAGGAGTTAGCACCTCAACCGCCACCGGGGTCGAGCATCATCAGCCGCAGCCGCAGCAGTTACCACCTCAAGCCAAGGCACTTTGCGCATCAGGCGTCGCTGGTACCAACCAAAGCACCGGCCAAGACAAGCATCATGAGCATCAGCCGCGGATGCTGCGGCAGGTACCACCCAGTCCTGCTCAAACGAAACATCTTGAGTACTCTTCATGGCAGGTACAACTTTAATCGCCATCCGATTTGAGCATCATGAGCATCAGGCACGGCAGCTGCCAGCCAAGCCTAGCATCATGAGCATCGTCAGCGCTGCCCAAGCATGCATCATGAGCATCAGCTGCAGCAATCACCATCTCAAGCGCCACCCTCGTCAAGCATCATGAGCATCAGTCGGGGAAAGTACCCATCAAAGAGCAAGCCAAGGCAAGCATCATGAGCATCAGCCGCGGCATTTACCACGTACAGTGCTGCTCAAACGCAACAATTCAAGAGCATTAGCCGGGGCAGTTACCACATCAAGCGCCAACCAAGTCATCAACCGCCGGCTGTTATCCGGTCAGGCGCCACACAAGCCGAGCATCATGAGCATCAGTCCCGCAAGCGCCATCGAAAGCGAGGATCATCAACGTCAGCCGTGGCTGTTGCCAACCTAAGCTCCGCCACGGCAGCATCATGAGCATCAGCCGTGGCTGCCCCCAAACAAAGCCGAGCATCATGAGCATCAGCTGCGGCAACTGTCACCTAGAGCCAAGGCACATTGCGGATCAGCCGTGGCTGTCACCAGCCAAAGCGCCGGCGGACGAGGCGAGCATCATGTGCTGCAGCTGCCACCCAAAGCGCCAGCCAAGCCAAGCATCATGAGCATCGGCCGTGGCAACCAGCACCTAGAGCGCTGCCGAAGCCTAACCATTAACATCAGCTGCAGCAATCACCACCTCAAGTGCCATACTCGTTGAGCATCATGAGCATCAGTCCCGCAAGCGTTATCGAAGCGAGAATCATGAACATCAGCCGTGACTGTTGCCAAAAAAGCACCGGCCAAGGCGAGCATCATGAGCATCAGTCGCGGGTGTGACCAGCCAAACGCCAGCCAAGGCGAGCATCATGAGCATCAGCCGTAGCTGCCCCCAGCTCAAGCGCCGGCCAAGGCGAGCATCATCAGCATCAGCCGCGGCAGTTACCACCCACAGTGCTGAAAGCATCTTGAGCATCATGTGCATCATCTGTGGCATGTCTCGCTTCAAGCCGATGCACATTTGATCAGCCGTGGCTGTCACCAATCAAACCGCCCGCCGAGGCCAGCATCATGAGCATCAGCCGCGGCCAGAGACAGCATCATGAGCATCAGCCGCGGCAGTTACCACCCACAGTGCTGCTCAAACAAACCATCTTGAGCAGTATGAGCATCATCTGCGGCATGAATCTCTTCAAGGCAAGGGACTTTTGGATCAGCCGTGGCTGTCACCAATCAAAGCGCCGGCCGAGGCGAGCATCATGAGCATCGGCCGCGGCAGTCACCATCTCGAGCGCATAGGGCAAGCAGTACTCGCGCTATAGTACTCAGGCAAGCGCCAGCAAGCAGACTCCACCTGGGTCATGACTACTATTCTTGCCTATGCACCAGCTGAGCTCTGCTTGGCTCCCGTCTCACTAACATTTGGTATCTAGACTCGCTGCTGCCTTCTGCTGCCTTTGATAGGTGTTTAGGCTGTGGGGTTGAGGATCTTGAATTCGATAGTTGGGGGCTATGCCCTGAAGTCGCGGGTTTAAACTTCACGGCCCAGTGGCATCGACAGCATTCCCCTCCACCCGCAGCCACACGGGTAAGCGCTTACCCATCAGCTGCGCCCATTTGATTTCCTAGGGTTCCGGATTAAGGTTGGCTTAAGGCCATGTATATGGTTTCTGTGGTCATGGGTTTACTGAGTTCTTGTGAAGGAACTTGTGACAGGGTGTGCAAGGCTTTCCGGGCTTGAGGCTAGAAGGGTTAAGGGGTTTGGATTCCGAGTCTAGACTTTAGGGCGTAGGGGTTTAGAGTTTAGACTGCCTGGATGAAACCCTAAACCCTACTCCCTAAGCACTTTGGTAAGCTGCGTGGTGGAATTTTCTTGCTTGGTGGCTAGAGCGGCTCAGTGGGGAAGGAACCGACATCGAAATCCTATTGGGGTTTAGGGTGTAGGGTTATAGACCCTGAAAACCTGAACCTCCAATCTACTCCCTAAAAGCCTGCCCCCTCAAAAACAAACAACATATAACAGCTATACATGCCTCGGAAAGCACAAAAAAACATTAAACCCCTAAGCCGTAAACCATAATTTAAGAAGCAAAGTGTGCGTCGAGACACAATCGCCTCCACCACGGCACGAAATCCGGCGACTGTTAGCCTGCCATACGTGTATCGGTGTTCAATGAGGGTCCTCCTGGGAATAGTGTATTCGGGCTTGCTCGTAGGGTGCTTTCATGGGATTCTAGAAAGGCTCTAGTGTTGACGCTCTGGGTGATGAATCTAAAACTTTAGACCCACGAAATGCCAAAGAATGGAGACCCAAAACCCCATGAACCCCTTGAAACCCCGAAGAGAAAGGGCACCGAAAGTGGCTAGACCTAACAAATACCAGCCCCCAAGCCCGAAACCCCTACAGAACTTCCTTCAAGGAACCCTTAAAGGAACTCTGAAAAGGAACCCTAAACCCTAAACCCTAAACCCCAAACCATTAAAGGAACCCTTGAAGGAGCCATAGTAGAACTCCCTTCAAGGAGCCCTGAAAGGACACCACTAAGCTGGCTTGCTCCACCGGTTGTGGGAGAGATGCATCTCCTCAGCTCATCGGGTTGCGGAGGTTAGGGTTTAGGGGTTTAGGGTTTAGGGGTTTAGGGTTATTTAGGGTTTAAGGGTTTACGGTTTAGGGTTAAGGTTTAGGGTTTAGGGATTTTAAATCCTTTAGGGAGTTCAAGGTATGTAGGATTTGTGTAATTATACGGGCGAGTCAAGGCTTTGGGTTTAGGGTTAAGGTTTGTAGGCTTTTTGTAACTACACGGGTTAAGGCTTTGGGTTTCGGGTTTAGCGTTGGTGAGTTCATGGCTTTCGGCTCTAGCCCTAAACCCTAAACCCTAAACCCTAAACCCAGTAGATCTGTATGGTTCTACGGGTTAAGGCATTGAGCTTTCGGTTCGATTCCTGGTTAAGGGGCCCCTAAACCCTAAACCCTAAAAACCCCTAAACCCTAAACCCAAAACCCAAAACCCAAAACCTAAAACCCTAAACCCAAAACCCCCCAAAACCCTAAGCCCTAAACCCTGCACCGTTTTGAGCCTACGACAACTCCCGATTGGGACTGCGAGGGCCGGGGATGGCGGGCCCGGGCTCAGGTGGGTAAGTTTTTTGCTGCACGGCTTAGTGTTTAGGGGTTTAGGGATTGGGGTTTTGGGTTTAGGGTTTAGGGTTTAGGGTTTAGGGTTTAGGGATTGGGGTTTAGGGTTTGGGGTTTGGGGTTTTTGGGGGTTTAGGAAACCCCGAACCAGACAGGCCCGACCCACGAACAGGTCTTTTGTGCTAGGGTGGATAAGTCTATCAGCCCCTAAGCCCTAAAACCTAAAACCCCTAAACCCTAAACCCTAAACCCTAAACCCTAAACCCTAAACCCTAAACCCTAAACCCTAAAACCCCTAAACCCTCGGTTCATGGGATAAGGGAAGTGTGGAGATTCACAAATCAAGGTTTGAGCTGGCTCTAACATGAAGGGTTTAGGGTTTAGGGTTTAGGGTTTAGGGTTTAGGGTTGAAGGATGCTTGTAGCACATTCAAATTTAGAAGGGTGCAGCGTTTAGGGTTCAGGGTTCAGGGGATCCTTTATTCGGATTGGGTGCGTTTGAGGTAGCGTGGGCGTTACAAGCACAAGCGGTTTGGTGGCTTGGGGGCTTAGGGTGGCTCGTTGTCAAAGGACGGCTACCACGCCTCAGCATTTAAATCTTCTATCAAACATGAACCTTAAGGGTAAACACATCAATCTTTAAGTTCACAGCAAAGTCGAGGTAAGGCAGTGGCCTCAACAAGTAAAAATGTTTTGAAACCTTCAAAGTTGCTACGAAGAGACCACGGAATCCCCCATGGAGCAGCACTACCTACAGTTCTTTCTGGGGGTTACCCTGTAGGATCCTAAATACAGAGCAGGCTATACCCTTGAAAAAAAGGAACTACTGTTGGTGATATGAATCCTGCATTACCTTAAGGACCCTAAACTATGGGAATTTTGGTATATCCCTTATTAAATTATGGGCAATGCAGGATTTATATCATCAGCCGTACAATGGAGACCAGAGTCTTTAGAGGTGCTCTTCAGGTACATTCTGACCTAAACTCCGGTCACACCGAAAGCCTCAACGTCAGGTTTGGGCCTAAGCTCGCTGTCCCCTGACCTCCAATGGGGTTTCCGGCTCAAGTTAGGATGTAGGTTTGATGAGGCTTTAGGTTTAGGAGTCCTTGGGTTTCGGGCTAGGCTCAGGCTCGAGGGCACCCCAAGGCTATACACTCAGGCCTGCGGGCTTTTCTGAGGCTTACGGAATGCTTTTTTCTCGTTATCTGTCTACTGTAATCGGTCACAGGGTTTAGGTGCCAAAAGTTTTCTGTCAGGTTTGAGGAACAATAGTTCACTGTATATAGGTAGCTGGCCTCCTAGGGGAAAGTAGAGGAACGGTGCTCCTGGATTTCCGGGCACGTGAACTATACTTAAAGTCTTCATCGTGAATCATAGGATTGCACGCGGGGCATTCGTGTGAAATACAAGCCTTGCACCAAGGTAAATTTGACCCGGGAATACCCAAAACCCTAACCTCTAAACGACCTAAGTGACCCCAAACCAGAACTCTGCACCCCAAACTCTACCAAAAGCAGGATCCAGGCAAGAGGCCGATGATAAAAAAACCTTCATCTTCAATCCTACCGTAACCTCAGGGCTTAGGGGGTTTAGGCTTGGGGCTTGGGGTTCCGGATTTACGGCTAAAACTAGGGTTTAAGGCACAGGATTTCCCTGCCTTAACCTCCCATGAACTTAAGGCTTCCAGAAGGGAGTTCATATGCCATACCCTGCTGTATTTGGGTACCTAGAATTTTCATATCAAGCTGTACAGCAAGACCCTACCAACAATCTCCACATGACCCTTATGGAACCCTTGTATATGACAACTGCGTATAGAGCCCCTCGAGGCACCCCGACGTTGTGGTAGCTGAAGGTAGCCGCAGCCGAGCATCACTTGGCAGATGGGTCGCTGACATGCCATGCAGCCAAGCAGCAATCGACCTGTCTCGCACAAGGGTCCCTTGCGGGTTCCCTTAAAGGATCTATCGGGTTGTAACAAGGTTTTATAAAGTATGGCACGTAAGCCTGACCTTTCTCTTGAGGAAGCAATCCGCAAACCAGACCCAGACAAAACAGTGACCCAGACCCTAAACCCTAAACCCTAAACACCGAAAAGTTACGACATAAACCCTAAACCCCAAACCCGAAACCCTAAACAGTGACACAGACCCCACAGCCTTAAAGCAAAGCCTGAGCTCCTAGAAAGCTCTTAATCTCCCTCAAGCCCTTCTCCGTAGATATCCTAAACTCGCCTTTCTTTTCGTGTCCTTCTTTTTTGGGCTTAGGGCTTGGGGTTTCGGATTTAGGGTTGCTTGTTGTTACTCTTCATGTTCATGTTCATAATGATACGGGTCCACACACCCTACCATCCAATAGCATTTCGCACAATCGCAACATGGTGCAACCCTGAACCCTAAACCGTGATTATGCTGTGCTCGCGCTGGCATCTTCATAGACGTCTGGTGTGCTTCTTCCAGGCCGTTCAGACATCTCCGAAGAATCGATCTGCGGTGGCTTTCACGTTGTTGCTCTGCCGTTTTGGAAACCTACGCCCTAAACCCTAAGCCCCTAAACCCTAAACCCCTAAACCGTAAACCCTTAACCCTAAACCCTTAACCCGTAAACCCAGAGCCTCGCGGCATCATCGTCGAGGCCGCAGTCAAACGCTCGAAGGCGGTCGACGCGGACGCCTCGATCGCCTGGGCTTCTAACCAAAACTTAGGGTTTAGGGTTTAGGGTCTCGGGGTTTAGGGGTTTGGCGCTTAGGGTTTAGGGGTTTAGGGTTCAGGGCTTTGGGTTTAGGGGTTTGGGGTTAACTTTAGGTTCTAGGGCCGTCTAGGGTGTAGGATTTAAAGCATCGGGTTTAGGGGTTCGGCTTTATGGGGTATAGGGTTTAGGGTCTAGGGTTTGGGGTTTAGGGTTTACGGATTTACGGATGAAGCGGGGCAAGGGTCCTAGGGCAAACGTAATGCGGGCTTCGATGCCTGAGTGAGCCAGGAGGAACGGGTTCAGAAAAGGGTCATTATGGGTTTAGGGCTTAGGGTTTACTTACGGGTCCTACATAACTCGAATAAGGTTTGGGGGATTCTTATACAATTCAAGGCGGTATGGATTGAAAAAGCTATACGGGATGATTTTGCTAGGGCTCAGCTCCTTATCGGAATCCTTCGTGATGCATAAATCGAGAGTGTTGCGACTAAGCAGCACCACGACGACGACTACGATGGCTATTCCTAACACTGGTCATAATGTTTATAGCAATGGTGACTGACATCGCTCTGACAACACTGTGGCTGCAACAATGACGAACTTGTGGCCAACAGAGCACTGATGACAATACCGTTTCAGTGACGACACCAGTGATCATCAACCCTAAACCCTAAACCCTAAACCCTACACAATACTTGCAATGCAAGTTTGCAGACGACGAATACGATGCGAGTAGCAATCAGATCCACCTTAAACTCACTCCCAGAGCCCTACACCCTAAACCCAAAGCCCTAACCAGAATATCCTGAAACTCCGGATCCTACAAAAAAGCCGTAAACACGAACACCCCTTATTCTTGAAACCCCATTGCCTTTCCTGGGTTCTTGTTAAGCGACTTAGCTTACGTTGCCATAATAAAGAAACACGATTATTTACTATAAACTATAGATCCCTATCGTGATAGCTTGAATTAGATCCCTTAACAAGAACCTAGCTTCAGATTGTTGTCTGTTGCAGTTCGGGCGTCGGAAGATGCCGAAGAGGACATCGAGGCCCGAGGCGGACCAAATCACTTTGGACACATCCACCTGGCTAAAGACCTCGGTTCAGTGTTTCGGGTTTAGGGGCGGAGGGGTTGAAGACTTAGGGGTTCAGGGGTTAGGGGCCTAGGGGTTTTAGGGTTTAGGGGCTTAGGGCTAAGGGGTTTAAGGTTTAGGGGCTCAGGGGTTTAGGGTTTAGGGGCTTGGGGCTTAAGGGTTTAAGGTTTAGGGGTTCAGGGGTTTAGGGGTTTAGGGTTTAGAGTGAGCTTTCTTCAAGGGTTCAGGTTTAAGGTCTTGGGGGGGAGCTGTGCAGGTTGCTTCATGTGACATTGTTCAGCATGCAGGCGAATCTTCTAATGGTTTCGTAAGTGAGGAAGAAAACTACCAGTGATAACAATGCTGATAATAATCACAATAATCACAACAACAACAAAACTCCTAGTACTAAAAGAACATAATCTTCACAACCGTAGTAATACAGATGCTAACCCTGTTTTAAGAAGCTTCAAAGGGTGCTCTCGGGTAGAGGGTTCGGCGTTGAACACCGTTCAAGGCAGAGCGGATTCAGAAAGCTGCAGTCAGCACTAAGCTGAAGAGGCTTGCCGACAAACAACATTCCTAAAACTGCGTTAATCCTGCCAAGGTTTAGGGCTCAGGGTTTAGGGTTGACCCTGATTGGTCCAGTCTGTGTCTGTGCCAAGGGATCTCCACCCTAAACCCTAAAACCTAAATACACAGAACAACCCTTCTTGAATCCAACGTCGAGTGGCGACGGAACCGGGCGGATAGCTGGATAACCTGCCAGTGTGAGGCAAGAGAAGGCTTCACGAACCCTTGGTGGGGGGGGTTTAGGGTTTAGGCTTCACGAACCCTTTTCGGCCTTTTCGGGCTTAGGACCCAGCTAAGTCATAAGCCCTCAAACCCTGCAGCCCTGCACCCTACAACCCTAAACCCTAAACCCTAAACCCTAAACCCCTAAACCCTAAACCCTATACACTACGGGTGTGGATGCGACATCTTAGAAACCCTGCTGCCTGCAAATCCCAATGCTCCAGGGTTCGTGGCCACGGGCCTACAGGTTTGCCGGGTCTTGTCACAATCAAGCCCCGAAAAATGCCTGAGTATGCTTGGGTTTAGGGTTTAGGTCGGTTAGGGTTTAGGGTGTAGGGTCAACTGAAAGCCGTGAACCCAAAACCTGCACCCTTGGCCCCACAAACCAAGCACTCAGCCCGCGACTCTCAATCCTAAACTCTCCCATATGGAACCCTTAGAGATCCCCTTGAAAGCAATCCTCGAAGAAACTCTTTGTTGAACCCTGAACTCTAGTGAGAGTGTCTTCTTGTTGTTCCCATACAAATACCACAATATGCCCAAAAGTCGTATTCTAATTACCAAGCTCTTATGGTAACCCTTGTAGAACCCTTTAAACTTTAAAGAAACGAAACACTTGAAAGAACCCCTGTAGAAACTGGTAGACAGGTCACCTATACGATGCAATCTGGTCGTACTAAAATCCCTAAACCCTAAACCCCCAAACCTCTAAAACCCTAAACCCTAAACCCTAAACCCTAAACCCCCAAACCTCTAAAACCCTAAACCCTAAGCCCGAAACCCTGACTCCCTGAGGCAAGCGGCACGGCGCGGAGCTTCTCTAGGAATTGCCCGGCTTTCCAGGCCTCGTCTTTAAAGGACGCCTCGAAGCGCAGTTAAAAAGAGCCAGCGGTTTAGGGTTTCGGGTTTAGGGTTTAGGATAGTTAGACTGTACTGAAATCAAACGAAAACGGTCTAGGAGTCACAAAAAAGGGGTTTCGGCTTTGCGGTTTAGGGCCGCAAACATAAGAACCACGAGAAAAGCGTGTAAGGACAAGTTAGGAAGTAGAGTTTGGGGTGCAATACAGAGGCTCTAATCACCCGAAAAGGGTGGCTCATCACCCGAAAGGGGTTCTTTGAGGGGCTCTACAAAGGTTGTAAGCGGTCTCTTCAGTAGGGTGTGTGGTGCTTTATCGGGGCTTTAATGTTAGAATAAGGTTTGGGGGATACTACAGCATAACTATGTAGGGACCATAAAGGGAAAACGGTTAGTTGGTACTTCTTGGTGAACTTGTCCTAGCATACCCAGAAAACGTTCTTAGGATCTCGGCTTCAGGGGGCTTCCTACGGCTGATGACATAAATCCTGCACTGCCCATATAAGGAATAGACCATAACTCCCATAATTAGTGTAGAGTCCTTGAGGTAATGCCGGATTCATATCATCAACAGTAGTGGGGTGTAGGGCTCTAGGATTGGGCTGTGTTTGGGGCGCACAAGTTTTTCGGTGCAGGCGTTTCAGGGTGTAGGGCCGTAGGGATTTCATGGCTTAGGGCCTTAGGGATTCTGGGTGCAGCGGCTTTAAGGCTGAACCCTAAACCCTAAACCCTAAGGGATAGATAGGGTGTTTGCTTCTTTGGGGCCTCGGGCTTGCAAGCTCAGGGCTTGTCTACAGGATGACCTAAAATTGTCGGTAGGTCTCTAACTCTTAGGATCCTTTTTATAAGGGTGCCGTGCCATGTTTGGGACCTAAAAAGGGACCCTAATTCAGAGAACTACCCATAAGGCTGCGGGTCTACCGAAACCTAAGGAATAGTGTTACAGTATTGGTAACTACGAAGGCCCCTATACTACACTTCCTGTCGACGAGATCGTAGCCCAAAGGGCCTAGAAAGCATTGGTTTCGGATTCCGGGGTTAAGGCTAAAGTTTAGACTCCAATTCAAGGCAGCTAGGGTAACCACCTAGTTAGGCAGAGGATCATGGGACTTAGTAACTAGGATTATACGCATGGGCACAGGAGATGATACGCTGACCCTGATTGCTTCTCAGCCATTGCAGCATACATCCGATTCCTCATCTACTGCTGCTGGTCCTCAGAACTCTCTGTGTCCAGGGACAACATGCATGACTCCGGCGGAGCATTGGCATGCCCAGAGTGCTGCCGGTAGCAAAGGGAAGCTGGTCTCCGGATCCTCCATGACAGCATATGTTATATAGGGGCCTTTATAATAACCAATACTATTTTGGGGGCTCCTTAGTGTAAGTATGGAAAAAGGGCCCCAAAACCCTATTCTAATTATTAAGGCCCCTATTGTGGTGCCTGACAGGAACTCCTTCCCCAAAACAACTTGTGACCGGAACATCTCGGAGCTGTGATGCCAGAGGTAGGTCAGGCCAAAGCTTGGGCCGCCGCCAAATTTGGCGAAATGTCTATGAGGGTTTCAAGGTTTCGGACGTGGGGTTCAGGACCTTGAAGCATTCAGCTACAGGGTTTGAGGTGAAGGGTTGAGGTTGTTAGGGATTGGGTTAACGAGGATTTGGGGTTTTCAGGTTTAGGCTCTGGATTCAGGGTTCAGGGTGAAAGAGGCATGAGTCAGTGCTTTTCAACTGCAAGACCCAAACCTGAAACTCTAAACCCGAAGCCCGTATAGAATCAGAATGCCCTGAACCCTAAACCGTGCAGAAGCCCTAATCCCTAAACCCGTGCAGATTTCCTGAACCCAAACAACCCTTATAGAAACCTCAAACCGTAGTTAACCTGGTGCCCTCGGCTTTCCCCACGGCCTCGCCGCGGGTTGGTAAGCCTGAGACTTCTTGGCGGAGGTTTCATGTTGCGTACTGCCCCTACCTTCTATAACAGTCTAGGCGGCCATTTAGAGCTATCCTAAACCCTAAACCCTAAACGGGTACAGCGTGGGAACAATAGCCAAGGTTTAGGCTTCAGCGCTTAATGTTTATGGAACCCTAAACCGAAAGGTTTACAGTTGAGGGTTTAGGGTTCAGGGCTTAAGGTTCAAGAGTTTATGGATTCGGGTCTAGGGGGGGTTATTCCGGCTATAAGGATGTTGAGGGGTCCAGAGTTTACAACCCCAGGGTCTAACATAGGGCCTGGACAATTTACGGTTTAGGGCTGAATACCTGGTGTCGGGGGTAAGTGAGAAAGTACTACTAATAGTACTAAGCATTCCTCAGGAACAGTATCACCGAGAAGCCCTAAAGAACAGGGTCACTCACTGTTCAGGCCCCTGGATAAAGGAATTTATTGCGTGACTATGTTCAAGTAGGGGGTCTCAAATGGGCTTAGCAGCTCCAGGTGACGATGGGTTGTTGTCATGTCCAGCAAAAGAGCTCCTTTCTGTTTGGTGGCCCTCTGCGCACCCGAATCCTGTCTTTCAACCTGCTTAATTTAAACTTAAGAAAACATATAAACCATAAGCCCCCTAAACCCTAAACCCTAGACCCAAACCACAACCTTCCTGGCGCTCCCAACACTGAGGACTCCGATCCATCAGCCCTCAACCGTAGTTCTCACAAGCTTAAGGGGGGCTCTAGTATGGGTCTAGGGCTTAAGGGGTTTACGGTTTAGGGTTTCAGGGTTTAAGGGTATAGGTTCTATGGGGTTTCACGGTATGAGAGGTCCGGTTTGTACTAGGGCGCGATCAAATGTATAAAGGCTTCTTGGGAATATTGGTGAATGCATAGTTTGGATGTTCTTGCGCGGATACTAGCCTACTTCCCACAGACGAACACCCAAATATAACCCTGTAGTACCCATGCAGTAACTCTGGAATAAAACTTCTAGTGTAAAAGATCCAACAGCCAGTATTCCTGGATCAAGAAATACGGTGCTTTAAACCGTATTCAACGTTCCAGCATAATCTAAGATCTACTCCTTCCCTAAGGGAGTTTTGGCCCTCGACGGAAAAACTGCCAAATCCCAGACCCTAGCAAATGAATCTTAAACCAAAAATGCTCAGCCAAAATGCCCTCGTCACCCAAGAACCCAACAACCCTGACGGTTTACCTCTTTGCCCACCTAAGAGCCTGCATAGTATAGAGCCTTACTAGTTAGAATAGGGTTCTGGGGTATAGTAGACTATAGTTATCGTAAGGAGCCCACAACATAGTATAGGTAATTATTTAGGCCCCTATATTAATTCCTAAACCCGAAACCCTAAACAAGCTGCATTTAGCACAGGGGGCCATAAAGTGTACTCCGTGGCATGCCCGCGGCAGCAAGCGACCGGCTGGGATCCGGCGGCGAAGCTAAAGCCATGGTACTTAGGGTTCAGGGTTTAGGGGGTGCTGGCTAGTCTTAACTACGGCTTAGATGATTCTTTTGCTTTTTTCTGGAAAGGGAGGGACGTGTTGGCGGGGTTTAGGGCTGTTGCGGGTTTAGGGGGGGTCTATAGGGTTGAGTTGAAGGTTGACGCCGATGGAAGCAAAGGGCTCATGGTAATTGCACTGACGGTATCATCAAGCGGTGTGGGGCGCATCGGGTTCCTGTGCAGAAACGTGGGGAGCATCGGGAGGATTCAAGGTTTCAGGCTGAGGTGGGTGAGGCTGGGATTGAAGGCTTGGGTTTAGAGCTTAACCCTAAACCCTGAACCGCCTAAACCCTACACCCTAAACCCTACGGTATCTCTGCTTGGCTCCAGGATGAATGCTGTTGATTGCGGCTTATTGCTCAGAGCCCACAGTCTGCGTCTGAAGGGTGTATGGAGTTTCCTGTGGATCCAAACACCCGCCGCTTTAAGGGTTATGCCTGAAGGTTTAGGGGTCATAACGGGCTTAGGCTTTAGGGTTGAGAGTTTAGAGTTCAGAGTTCAGGGTTTAGGGGTCTTAGCTTGTAGAAGAAACCATAGCCTCAAAAAAGACCCTAAACCCTAAACCCTAAACCCTAAACCCTAAACCGTTCTGGCTGCCGAGCCTACAGGAGGGAGGCACTAGCGAAACCAGGGAAACTTACCAAGAATATACTGACGGCCCATAACCCCCATTATAGGGGTCTGAAGAAGAATCAATAGCAATAGCCCGGGAAAGTCCCTATATACCCCCATTGTAATTATTAATTGAGCCCTTTCTCATCGCCACGAACCACGTCTTCAACCACTCACTTTTCGGCATGTTTGCTGAGGTAAGATGTGAAAGCTTCCCCTTAAACCCTAAACCCTAGACCCTAACACTGACTTTCAAGTAATGTCATGACGAGCAAACCACTGACGGTCGAAACTACCAAGCCCCTACTACCACAGGTTTCCCAAAAGAGGGACCCGAATTTGAAGAACTACCCAAATTCCAGCAAAGGGAAAAACGTTTGGGTTTAGGGATTAGAATCAAAAATCCTATAAAGAGCCCGGCTTCCTTGTGCAAAAAGAACACAGTGTAATTCACATTAGCATTGCACTCCAAAAAACTTCAGATCCCGGGGGTGACATTGGCCCTACAAAGCCCTACAGCTCTAGAAGCTTCCGGTGCTGCGGTTTCGTGTTGGGGGTTTAAGGTTTTCAACTCCTCTTCGAAGCCCCTAAACCCTAAACCCAAAGAAGCCAGATTTTGCGCCGATCGTGGAATTGCTAGAGCTGGGTAGAAGCGGCTGGTGAGACTCTGCAAATTCTGTGGTCGGCTCGAGAAGGAGACCCCAACACCTGCTAGGGTTCAGGGTTTAGGGTTTAAGGTATCCTTTCCCATACCCTAAACCCTAAACCCTAAACCCTAAACCCTAAACCCTAAACCCTATGAGAATACTTATTGTACTTCTTACCGAACCCTTGTAGTCTCTTATGGAACCCTTAAGCCGCTACCTACCCTAAATCCGCAGGGTTTAGGGAGCAAAGTTTAGTCGGTTTGTGCAGTTTAGGGTCTAAGGTTTCGGCAAGTCCCTAAACTGATTATTCAACGCCCTCTAGCAGCCTGTTCAACTTATGAGTATACGGTTTAGGGTTCAGGCATTAGCCCTATGGAAGCCTTACAGGAAGCACTTTCTGGAACTGCGGGCGGTCCTCTTTATCTCATCCAGACCCTAAACCCCAAACGCTAAAACCTAAACCCTAAAACCCTAAACCCTAAACCGAAAAGCGCGAGTGTTCTTCCGAGAGATTGGCCAAGCGAAACGTGACCACTAGGGAGGCAAGGGAGGCTAGGGCTCAGGGCTTTCGGGCTTTAGGGTTTCGGGTTTTAGGGCTTGGAGTTTAGATGGTGATTGTGGTCAGGCTGCTGGCAGTGAGGTCCTGATTGCCGGCACGAACGGCGGCTCACCAATAGTTGCACTTGCTGTCCACATTTCCTGCGGCAGCCCACCGCATCGGATGAGGGAGCCCCGTTGAGGCAATGGCTTGGGAATTAGTAACTTGAGGGTTTAGAGTGGAAGGGTAGCGACTTTAGATTAGAGATTATAGGCTTGCCGGTTTGGGACCTAAGTGCGTTTCCGTGCTACACACAAAACCCGAAACCTAAACCCAGATGGCTTAGTACTCGAGTCTCAACCTCGTATATGGGAATGATCGCAATAAGGAGCCGAATAGACCCAGTGCTAGGGACATACAACATGTACCCCAGCGAGGGACTACTGATCTGTGAACAGCAGTGAAAGCCACACAAAACCCCACTAGCCATTATCAGTTGACGAAACCCCACGAGCCCTCTGAAAGAAAAGCACAGGAAGCCCTCTGAACCCTTATAAAGCCCTGCGAAACGCCCATGCCACCCTATGACCTATGAGCCCTAAACCCTAAACCCTAGACCCTAAACTTGATAAAATTCCCTAAACCCTACACCCTAAACCCTAAACCCTAAACCCCAGACCCTAAACTTCATGAAAGGCCTTTAACAATCTTCATGAAGAAACCCTGAAGGTCCCTGCACCTCAGAGCTATACCTACTCTACTTCTCACATTACCAGTGATTAGGGCTTAGGGTTTAGGGTTTAGGGTTTAGGGTTTAGGGAAAGCCTAAACCCAAGACCCCAAAACCCCTACACACCCATCACGGCCACCAGGAGGAAAGTTACAAAACAATACTATTAGAAGCCACTACGGTACAGGTACGGGTCTTGGAAGTGCTAGTGGTGGTGTTGGTCACCTGTTTGTAGGGAGGTTGATCTGATGGGTTGGGCCCCAAACCCTAAACCCTTAACCCTAAACCCCAAAAGGGGTTGGGGAGACGACTGGAGTCATAGGACCTTGCCTGCAGGCATCATGGCTTCTCTTCACTCCTCCTCGCCTGCATGTCGCATGTACTTTGCCAAGTCAGGGCCATGCTCTCCAGAGTGAAGTGGAAGTCAGGCTGCCTGCCTGCCTGGACCGCGTCCTTCTGAATTTTGTCTCGTTTATCGTGTTGACCCGTACGGATCCCTAAACCCTAAACCCTAAACCCTAAACCCTAAACCGCTTGCTTTCAGGGTCTCATCCCCCTGCGATGTCTCGGTGCCACCACCCTGTGCTGAGCGCTCAGTTCGACGGTTTAGGGTTTAGGGTTTAGGGTTTAGGGTTTAGGGTTTAGGGTTTAGGGTTTAGGGTTTAGCGCTGAACAAACAATCTGCAGCTGATGCCCGTGTCCACATCCGCGATGCGTAGGCAATACCCCTGAGCTAACATAACTAGGTAATACCCCATAATTACCCTAAACCCTTAACCCTAAACTCTAAAGCCATAGCTAAGGGATACTAGTAAACTGAAGGGTTTGCTTAAAGGCTGTTGTAAGTTGTAAGTGTTTACGATGGGTTTTATGTAAGGGTGATTCTAGCATTGGGGTTTGGGTTTGAACCCCCGCGAGCCCAGCCGCACGAATACAACAGCCTTTAAACTGGAAGCTGTAGTCCGAAAACCCCTGCAACGAAGCCTTGCAAGAACCCAAAACAGCGGTTTAGGTTTTAGGGTTTAGGGTTTAGGGTTTAGGGTTGCAAAACCCTGTGTAACAGCTTCTGGAATAAACCACTGATTGCCGAAAGCCCGCCCAGGGATGCAATGCGGTCCTGGACAGCTGAAGCCTTAGCAGCGTCACGCGGTAGCAGCACCCTAACTGCCTAATTCTGACGTCGACCCCTTTTTCATGGCTCGTAATCTTGAGATATCTGAGTTAAGTCAATTCGAAACCAATTAGTTCAATTATTTCAAGAAAAAGTGACCTTGACAAAATTCATATAACTGAGATGGGGATAGTTTTTCCCAAAAAACGGAAGGTGAAATAATTGAAAAGATTGAAATGAGGGGTATTTAAGTATTTCAATTATTGAATTCCCGGTGGTATTTGCCTTAAAGAATAACTGAGTACTGGGTTTCAATTTAAGTTATCTCCATTTTAGAATTTGGGGCCCTGAACAAATGAAATGATCGAAATTGGGATGTGTTGGGTTCCCCTCCAAGGGCTTCCCAACCATTTCAATCTTTGAAACAATTGAAATCGGGCCGATTTCAATTGTTTCCCAAATTCGGAGGGTGGAAATGAAGGTATCGTAATGGTTTGGGCTATTTCAACTATCTCAATTATTGAAATCCCAGGATTTGCCTTAGAGGATAAATAAATACTGGATTTCAATCATTTCAATGATTTAGGGCCTTGAATGGCTGAAGCTAATGAAATACTTTAAATCGGGCTGATTGCAACGTTTCAATTTTTGGGAAGTCCAAATAATTGAATCTATTCAACTACGCTTTGGGCTGCTTTAAACTATTTCATTTTTTAATTTGGGGATTCCCAATAATTGAAACAGCTGAACTAAGTTTTGGCTTGATTTCAATGATTTCAATTATCTGAATTAGATGCTTCAACAATCTAATTCAAATAGTAAGACGTCAAACAGACCCAGAGGAGCCTCTCTCTCATAATTCTATAAAAACACTAGCATTATACCTCTATATATATATATATATATATATATATGGGAGTTTCCGAAAATAGGGGGTACCTTATTTGGGGGTCCTTAAAATGAGGATCCTATTATTTGGGGTACTATATCAGGGTCCCCTATTTTCGGAAACCCCCATATATCAATCATACCAAGGAGCCCTGAAGATGCCGGTCTTTTCAGGTGCAGGTAAACCCTAAACCCGAATTAGAAGCTCTAAGCCCCACACCCTGAACCCTAAACCCTAAACCCTAAACCCTAAACCCTAAACCCTAAACCCTAAACCCCACACCCTGAACCCTAAAACTAAGCCTAAAATCTAACTTGGGATAGCGGGAGCAGCGAGCAGTGCTTTCATCGCCCTCTTGAGTCGTGACCCTGGAACGCCGCAATCCGGACAGGTTGAACAGCCGTACTTACCGTGGCCCCCG